CAAAGGAATGCAGTCCCGAGTCATCCAGTGCATGCACAAGATCACGGGAAGACACGGCAACGAGTGTTTCTCCTCTGAAAAGCCCGCAGCATATAGACCCTGCCACCTGCAGCCCTGCAACGAAAAAATTAATGTGAACACAATTACATCTCCTAGGTTAGGTAAGCGGTTGCAAGGTCATATGGGGTGTGTGTGTGACTCTTCTTTGTCTTGTCACATTCATATGCGTGTCATGCTTCCCCAACTCACCCAATATCAAAATCATGGTGCCACTGCTCATCCTGTGGGTGGGGAACATTAATAATAATAATAATAATAATAATAATAATAAATTTATTTATATCCCGCCCTCCCCAGCCGAAGCTGGGCTCATTGAAATACCTTCTAAAATCAATTCATTAGAGCTGTGTTCCAGATCCTCATGATCTGGAACCCAGAGGACCCCAGAGGACCATCTATGTGAGTTGTTGGAGCCATTTGGGGGTTGCCTAGGACCCAGGCAGGGAGTCTGCACATCATGGGGCTTCAGTGGGAGATAGTTCTATATAAATAATGTGCTATCTTTTAATATGTAAGGGTCCCTTTCTGTTAGGATCTAGCTGGCATCTGGTTTTCCACTGTGAGAAGAGGATGTTGGACTAGACGGGTCTTTAGCAGGGCTGGGCAATATATCGCCCAACAAACACAGGTTTGAAGTCCATATCGTGATATGGGTTTCGTAATTTTTGGCCTGGCAATATATTGCGAATCAGTGTATGTGTGTGATGCAAAATTCACAATGTGGGAAAACCCATGAAGCCAGCCCATGTCTCTACATAGCTCCATCCTTATTTCAGACATGGTGATATATCAGTGCATCACAATGTTTAGCTCATGGGTAGGCAAACTAAGGCCCGGGGGCCGGATCCGGCCCAATCACCTTCTAAATCCGGCCCATGGACGGTCCAGGAATAGCATGTTTTTACATGAGTATACTGTATCCTTTTATTTAAAATGCATCTCTGGGTTATTTGTGGGGCATAGGAATTCGTTCTTTTTTCTTTTCTTTTTTCAAAATATAGTCCGGCCCCCCACAAGGTCTGAGGGACAGTGGAGCGGCCCACTGCTGAAAAAGATTGCTGACCCCTGTAATTAGCTGGTGATAATATCACAATGTTGAAAAACCACATATCACCTAGTCTCTCGTCTGATTCAGCCCTGTTCTTATGCTGCTGTGTTAAATGGTGCTTAAAGGTAAAGGGACCCCTGACCGTTAGGTCCGGTCACGGACGACTCTGGGGTTGCGGCACTCATCTTGCTTTACTGGCTGAGGGAGCCGGCGTACACCTTCCGGGTCATGTGGCCAGCATGACTAAGCCGCTTCTGGCGAACCAGAGCAGTGCACGGAAACGCCATTTACCTTCCCGCCGGAGCGGTACCTATTTATCTACTTGCACTTTGAAGTGCTTTCGAACTGCTAGGTTGGCAGGAGCAGGGACCGAGCAACGGGAGCTCACCCCGTCGCGGGGATTCAAACCGCCAACCTTCTGATCCTAGGCTCTGTGGTTTAACCCACGGCGCCACCCTTACTCCCTAGTAAATTGCATCCTTTATCTCTAAGTTTCGAAGCGTTTTTCGCCCTTTTGCTTCTATAAGACCACCTTGTTAGGTGCATTTCATTCCTAAGTCGCTTTGTTGTTGTTGTTTTGCTGCCTGTGCGTAAGAGGCTTCCTGCGCTATGCATCCACCATACGTTTCACACCTTAGAAATGCAGTTCAGAGCCGTTGACATATATACCTGCATTGATGCCCCTTTTGGTTTTGTGTCGTTTCACAGCTGCCTTAACGTTCAAGTGCCTTGGAGACCAGTGGCCTGTATACTGCAGAGTGATACGAGAGAAGAACCTCTGCCAAGACATGAGGTGGTACCAGCGTTGCTGTGAGACGTGCAGAGACTTTTATGCTCAGAAAATTCAGCAAAGGAGTTGACCTCTGGCAGGCAGACTGGCTGGGTAGCTCTCAGCTCTTCACAGCCACACTATTTATAAACACACACAAGAGCACGCTTTTTCAGACCAAATATTATCAGATTACATATAATTTAATCAAATTAATTTATTTTTGCCTGCCAATACATTTTTATTTTTTATTTTGGTTAAACAGCTTTTTTTTTTTTTTTTTTGGTTTGGTTTTATGCTCAGAGTTTCCATAATTAATTTTATATGAATTATTTTGGATACATTTATCAGATTTTTTTAAAATTACTATTTTAAATGTTTATATTCCATAGGCCAATATGTCTTTTTTTTCCCCACCCCCAACCTCCAAAAGACAAATAATGAGCACGATACTGTGCATTGTTTAGTGTGCTAGGCCTGCTCACTTGCAGTTAATGGGACTTAAACACACTTAACTGTCCACAAGATTGTGCAAAGTAATAAGTCATCATATTACCCTGATTTTTTTGGATACTTTTTTTAGGTTAATAGTTTTGCTGTGTATGGAAATGAGATCCCCTTTATTTTATTGTAATTTTTTTTTTGATGCTTTGTGTCAGATTGACTTCAGAAATTTTTGCAACAGGTTCTGGGGTGAGTTGATCTAACAGCATTGAACAGGTTATATTACAGAAAGTATTGGAAAAATCAATTCTTGTTTTATTAAGGGCTGAATCAGACTTTCCGAACTGTCCCAATATTTATTTGCATGTGACATTGGACCCAGAACATCTATTGACACAGCTACAGCTTCCCAGTATTAATTTTCATAATCACAGCAGCCCATTTTCAACCAACTTAATTGTAAGAATCAATTCCACGAAGTTGTAGGCAGATTCCTTTAAGCGGGCATGGGAAATCTACGGTCCCCCAGATATAGCGGAACTATAGCTCCTATTATAACTGAATTTTTTGTGGTGCTAACCTGGGGCTGATGGAGTCTTATAACATCTGGAGGGTCGTGGATTCTTGATTCCTACCACAGATCACTAGCGGCCCAGCGTGACACATCATGTTTCTCCATGCCCTTAAAAACATACTGTAAGAAATGATCTACTGTAACTTAGAAACTTTTATAAACAAAAATAGACAAAATGACAAAGTAGGGATTTTAATCATGTGTATGAACATATACTTGAACACAAGTATTGAATCAATTAAACACTGTAAAGATTAACACTGAATCTCGGTTGCACTGTTTGATGTAGTGTAGAGAAACATCGTTCTAGAGTTTGTAACATCCTATGAAAGAAATCTGTACTGTTTTTAAACTTGTCATTTGATCTCAAGGGTTTTCAGTGAAAGATCCACGCCTAGCTCTTGGTGCTCATGTGGTTTGCGCATGGAGAGAAACCTAATGTTTAATTGGGCTAAATTTTCAGGTTGTTTTTTTAAAAAAAGTTTTAGAAGATAATTTTGTGATAAGCTTCTTTGTGTTTTTTAAAAAAAGATTTTTTATAAAGATAGTTTTGCAATTTTGTGAAACGTGAACAAGGCAACTTACATTTTCCTTATGAGAAAATTTTGTATGTGGGTCACGTGATTTTTACATCTTCAATAAATATATATGTATATAAACTCCATTTATATATATCTTCCCTCCCCCCAAACCTTATAATGTTGGTTGATTTCTGTTGAAAATAAAAAATGAAATGGAGAAAACCAAATATGTGATGGAGAAAACCCATCTAGCACAGGGGGATTAGCCAGCATGGTGCTCCCAACATGTCATTGGACTTCAACTTCCAACAGACCTAGCCAACATGGCCAATGTAAGCCCAGCAATTTCTGGACCACTGGTCTTCAAAGAAATGTTATGAGGATAAATTCTAAATTCCCATTTATTAGTCAGTTCCTGTTCCCTGCAAAGGGGGAGGTTTTACGTCCTGTTTTATTTCTGTGGAATGTAACCACTTTCACTGCCAGACACTCGGTCAGGCTGCATTTTTAGCAAGTTGTCCACTACACAATTTCTTTTCTGATCCATCATCGTGCCAGCTCAGACCTCATAAATGTATGTGGGATATTAAGGTCTTTCTACCACAATGTGCAGGGACGCGGGTGGCGATGTGGGTTAAACCACAGAGCCTAGGACTTGCCGATCAGAAGGTCGGCAGTTCGAATCCCTGCGACGGGGTGAGCTCCAGTTGCTCGGTCCCTGCTCCTGCCAAGCTAGCAGTTCGAAAACACATCAAAGTGCAAGTAGATAAATAGGTACCACTCCAGCGGGAAGGTAAATGGCGTTTCCGTGCGCTGCTCTGGTTCGCCAGAAGTGGCTTAGTCATGCTGGCCACATGACCCGGAAGGTGTACGCCGGCTCCCTTGGCCAATAAAGCGAGATGAGCGCCGCAACCCCAGAGTCGGTCACAACTGGACCTAATGGTCAGGGGTCCCTTTACCTTTACCACAATGTGCAGTGCTGTATTTCATGCCAGTGATTATCTTGTAACAGTCAAGAGTGTTTTGAATGGACATCTGAAACGCTGCCGTAGCAATAAAGTTGGGATTGGGTTTCTTAAAGCTACATTTTACATTGTAAGCTCTGGTGTCATTTTTATGCATACTTGCTGCAGAAATCGCTACTTCTGCAACTTTTGCTGCCCTCACCTCAGGCATCCGGTAACTGATCATCACGTTTAGAGCTTTTCTTTCACTTAAGACCAGCTCTTGGAAACATCGGCTAATCCTTTAAAGCAGCAGTTCTCAACCTGTGGGTCCCAAATGTTGTTGGACTACAACTCCCATCCTCCCTGAGCTCTGGCCTTGCTAGGTAGGGGTGATGGGAGTTGTAGTTCAACAACATCTGGGGACCTACAAGTTGAGAAAGGCTGCTTTTGAGAAACGAGCAGCTGTGTTGCTCGTTTTCATGTGCAGACAATAGGAAATGTATCTGCCTGACATCAGTCAGCTACAGTTTCAGGTAGGAGAAAGGCAATATCCTTGTTCACTTAATTAATTATAGAAGAAGATGGGAGCTGCTCCGGAATAAAGCAACTGGCTTTCACCAATATGTAACAGAGAAACATGGATCTCTCTGCACTGCCAAACAACAACCACCCCGACAAATTCCTGCAGCTAGACGTGAAATCCTTAGCAAAAACCTCCGTCTTTTTACAAACCTGGCTAGCAAATTTTCCAGACACACATTTTCCTGGGCAACAGCAATGGCACAACAGAGTCTATTCGCAGGTAAGTTGCTAGAGCACCAGATTCATCCTCTACTAATTCAATAGTTTGTTGTACCTTTTACAGAGAACTTCACTGGACTGGGAAACCTTATATCCCATCTTGGCAACATCCCTGACTTAGCTTTGCTTCTGTGCTTTAGACTTAAGTTGTTTGATATTTTAAATTCTTTTTTGCTGGCATGATCGTTACATGTTTTTGGTAGATATTGTCGTATGGCATTATAACTGGAGGGCTTCACAGTCAAACCAAATCTAAAGGAAGCAAATCTAAGGGGGGGGGATTTAAAATGAAAGCTGGCCGCCATTGATCAGTTGGTACCACTTCAAAACAATCACCAGTCCTCTCTGGTTTCTTCCCTATATGCTCTTTATCAAGCATTCATCCTGAATTACTTGCACAAATTTGCGAGGAGGTTATATGATACCGGCAGATTATTGAGCATTCATCTTGTTGGTTTGCAGGGAGCTCATACAATGTCACGTCAAACAATTCTTACCCAAAGTTTCTCCAGTGCAGCTCCCCATCACTTTTCATGCAATTGAATCTCACCCACAAAAGAAGCATCTGGAAGGAACCTTTAATTATGAAGGTTGTAACAGAGATGCTGTGTGGGAAAGAACCAGGGCTGGATTTAGGTTTGATGAGGCCCCTAAGCTACTGAAGGTAATCGGGCCCTTTATATGTCCAGATGTCCTTTGTCAACAAATTGTTGCTGTTTTTGGGTTGAATATATGTTATATGGTAATTTATGGACTTAGTAGGTAGGCACCCTATATATAGAAATGAGCAAACCAGTGATATTTTAGGGAGCAGGCTAGCAGGCGGGGCCCATTACTTACATCTAAGGAGCCTACACAACACAAAACACTGTTGCTATAAGTAGGTTTTAGTTTATTTGTTTTTTATCTTATATTCTGGAAATGTACATCCAAGTTTTTTTTCCTTTAATTTTTTTTTTGAGGCCCCCAAGAGAGTGGGGCCCTAAGCTATACAGTGGTACCTCAGGTTACATACACTTCAGGTTACATATGCTTCAGGTTACAGACTCTGCTAACCCAGAAATAGTACCTCGGGTTAAGAACTTTGTTTCAGGATGAGAACAGAAATCGTGCTCTGGCAGCACGGTGGCAGCAGGAGGCCCCATTAGCTAAAGTGTTACCTCAGGTTAAGAACAGTTTCAGGTTAAGAACGGACCTCCAGAATGAATTAAGTACTTAACCCAAGGTACCACTGTAGCTTGTTTAGATTATACATAAATCCAGCACTGGATAGAACACATGTTCTTTAAACACTAGCTCAACTTATCTCACTTGTGTCACAAGAACCCTCAGTTCTGAGCACAGGACTTGAGACTTATTGCCAGACAGCTCATGATGGCTGCTGAAAATGTTGGTATGTGTCCACAGTAAGCCAAGTGTGCACATTCACCAACATTCAGCATTCACTGTTTAGTGCTGTTTGTCAAGCACTTGCCAATGTGCCGAATCCTGCGCATGGCCATCTAGAAGAGACTTTAAATGCTTTCCCCACAGCAACCACACGCCCTTGGTTCGCACATGTAGACAACCCTTTAATAAAATTTGATTTTCAGCAACTGTTACACTAAAGTATTTGCATATGTTTCTCTCCCTTCCCCCCTTCCCAGTGTATGTGTTTGGTACCTCATAATGCAGATCAGTAAAAACTCTCAGGTTTGTCTGTCAGGGCTTAAAGGAGTTTCCTTTTTTAAAAGAAGAAGAAGAAAGTATGTTCCAACCTGGCAGAGAGAGAGAGAGAGAGATGCGGGGGCATTAAAAGAAACCCTATATTTTAAACCTTCAGAGAGCTTTCTGGGAGAATGTCTTATTGAAATGTAAAATTAAACAGAAACACATCCTTTGATAAGCCCAAACTTACAGCCCAATCTTATCCATGCTGACTTAGGAATGAGTCTGACCGATTTCAGCAAGTTTTACTTGGAAATAATTATGTTTGAGATTGCCGCCTTAATTGCCCCTTGTTTTAACGATCAAAAAATAAGGAGAAACTGCATATGTCTTACGTGTTCCAGATATCAAAATCAACATGATGTACGCACTGCGTAGAATGAATGCTTGATGAATAGCATGTTTTGTTTTAGGACGAAAGGCCTAATGAGGTTAAGGGTTAGTTAAGACCGGAATAGGAGAGGGGGTTTCGTGTTCCTTTTCAGAAGAGATGTGAGTGACCTCCGGGTTCCTGAAGTCATTAAACCCTGAAAGCCACCTAAATTCCCAGCCCTGGAATTCATTTTATTTTAACAAACACTTGCTTCTTAGGACTCGCTGCCTCCGTGCTGTGTTTGTGAGATTGTCACGACCTTTACCGAGAGATCATTCAGATTAATGTGCCCCCCTGTGCTTCTGAAAGTGCTTTCCTTTGCCTAAAAGTGTTTTCATTTATTTTCCACCAAATTCTGAGACTGCCATGACAAGTAACTCGGGTTTCAGACCAATAGTCTATCTTTTGACTTTTAAAAAAATCTGCTTTGGGGGAGTCTATTTCCTCCCCTCTCATCTAATTTCAGATAATGGAAAGTAAAACCTGCCCAAGCCGTGTTGGCCTTTGCACTGAAAAATGTTTGCTCCGCAAAAGAGAGAGCGGTCTTCCTTTTCTTTGCTAAACCACACACTTAGACTCCCTGGCCCCGATCCAACTACACACGTGCAGCAGCAGCAGCTGGGCTTGTGCACAAGGATGCCTGTTAGAAACACAATATGCCTGACAATTAGCTGGTTGGTGAGGAGCCCGCTTCAGAACATACGGCCGCTAGCTGGAGTGACTACAATTAACCTTCTCTTTCCCCGAAACACATTATACACTCTTTGTTCATCCACATGAAACCCATAGGAAGCAAACCTGTCTCATCATCATGCTGCAGGTGGCAAACTGAACCCGAAAGCTAGTCATTTTACCTATGGCCACCCAACAAATTCCAAGCTCAGACTGAACTTGTGCCCAGCTCTCTCAGGTCCACACCACAATAGCATTGCAATTGGAGGGTGTGAGACTCTTACTAATAAGACCATGGCTGCAGATTAATCTTAAGAGATGTGATGTTCAGGCTCTTTTCTGGCAAGCAGCCACAAAAAAATCCTAGAATCTGACCTTTGTGCTTCTAGTCTAGACTATTCAAACCCTCCAAGTGTCCCCATTTTCCACGGACATTCCTGGATTTACAGAAGCCGTCCCAGTTCCTGATTTGATCCCAGAATGTCCCATTTTTCCTTACGACATCCCTATTTTCATTGGAGAAATGGAGGAGGGGATGGAGTTATGCGACTCCTCCAAACCAAGGAGATAAGTAACTATACAACCTTTAGAAGACATCTGAAGGCAGCCCTGTATAAGGAAGGTTTTTTTAATGCCTAATATTTTGTTGTATTTTTATGTATGTTGGAAGAGTGGCTAGGGCAGAAGGATGGGGTATAAATAAAATGATGATTGAATAGGATATCCCTACCTTCATAGGAGAAATATTGGAGGGTATTCTATGTCTGGACGCAGGTGGCGCTGTGGGTTAAACCATAGAGCCTAGGGCTTGCCGATCAGAAGGTCGGTGGTTCGAATCCCCGCGACGGGGTGAGCTCCCGTTGTTCGGTCCCTGCCCCTGCCAACCTAGCAGTTCGAAAGCACGCAGTGCAAGCAGATAAATAGGTACTGCTCTGTCGGGAAGGTAAACGGCGTTTTTGTGCGCTGCTCTGGTTCACCAGAAGCAGCTTAGTCATGCTGGCCACATGACCCGGAAGCTGTATGCCGGCTCCCTCGGCCAGTAAAGCGAGATGAGCGCTGCAACCCCAGAGTCATCCATGGCTGGACCTAATGGTCAGGAGTCCCTTTACCTTTACCTATTCTATGTCCAGGGATGGACTAGCATGTGATTAACCCGAGGCATTTGGAAATACTAGTTTGGAACAAGGAATGGATCTGTTACAATACCAAGCAAGTCCTTTGCCACAAGAAGAGGACAAGACTTAAGTAAAGCACTAAATTTATGGTACAGCACTACCTAGCAGTTGGGTGTGTTGCTTATATACTCATTACAGTAGATTTTCCTGCAGGTTATCCCTACAGTAAAAGAGCACATTGAGCCATACCATGCAGACTGGCACTAACCGACTAGGGCAACTGAATTACCCACCACATATAGACTTTAGAAAGCCAAACTAAAGCAGCAGTGAAGATTGCCCAAACAAGGCAGCTCTCTCTAGACAATAAGTCCCATTAAACACAAAAATTTCCAGGAAAATTTGTAGCATCAGGATGTAAGAGGGTTGTGTGTGAACTGCAAAAAGCAGACATGCGTTGGCTAGAGGTCATCAGATCCTCAGGTTCCAAAAAACAATTTCCTGAAGGCTTTCCCTTTAATGGTAAGCAATCAGAATTCCATGTGGAGGCTTTTATGATGCAAATAAACTCGTAAGCTTCCTCCCTCCCTACATTTAACCTCTGTAGTAGTCGCAGCGAGGACTGACTGCAATGCCGATCTTCTTGCAATGCTTCCACTTACGCTTGAACACACCAGCCAGTTTTACAGCCTGTGGACCAAGTCACATGGCCTGCCCCCCCCCCCCAATTATACTACTTTCTGATCTGTCTGGAGAGCCAGTGTGGTGTAGTGGTTAAGAGCAATGGACTCATAATCTGGTGAACTGGGTTTGATTCCCTGCTTCTCCACATGCAGCTGCTGGGTGACCTTGGGCTAGTCACAATTATCTGAAGTCTCTCAGCTCCACTCAGCTCACAGAGTGTTTGTTGTGGGGGAGGAAGGGAAAGGAGATTGTTAGCCACTTTGAGACTCCTTAGCGTAGTGATGGGACGCGGGTCGTGCTGTGGGTTAAACCACAGAGCCTAGGACTTGCCAATCAGAAGGTCAGCGGTTCGAATCCCTACGCCAGGGTGAGCTCCCGTTGCTCGGTCCCTGCTCCTGCCAACCTAGCAGTTCGAAAGCACGTCAAAGCGCAAGTAGATAAATAGGTACC